CCCCAGGGTCCCAGGGGCCGCGGCCGCGGGGCTGAGAGGGCACAGCGAGGTCCGCCTAGGTCATCTGGTGGGGCGCCTCCAGCATCTCCATGAGGAAGGTGTCGATGGGCGTGTCCCCGATGAGCTTGAAGAAGAAGAGGTGCTCCAGGCACTTGAGGCCGATGGAGCGCAGGGCTGGCAGACGCAGCAGCAGCTTGGCGAACCTGTGGGGGACGCTCGTGAGGAGGCACGGCCAGCACCCCCATCCCGAGCGGCAGCCCAGCCCCCCGCAGAGGGCGGGGCCGCTGATGGCCAGCGGGCAGGGGCTGGGGGCAGCCTGAGAGCCCCGGACCGGCCCGCAGGGCTGATCTGAGTGTCTGCACACCCTGGCCTCAGGGGGGGAGGGTGGCCAGAGCGCTGGGGCGCTGGGGCGCCCGCCCCCCCAGAGGGCCACAGGCTGGAGCCCAGGGCTGCAGCGGCGGGGGCGGGAGGGCAGGAGGGGTGCTCCTTGGTCCGTCCCCCACCTCCTGGAGCTGCTGGGCAGGAGACTGGCGGGGAAGACATTTGGGGCTCTGGAGGACAGGGCGCTGCGGGCCGCGAGGGCCACCCCATCTGCCTGCCCCACGGCGGCCGGCGGCCGGCGGCCAGCTCCCGGGGATGTGGCTCATTAATTATTAACGACGTCTCGATTTCAGGGGAGGCCCCGCGGCTGGCTGGAGCGTGGCCAGCAGACACCCGCTTTCTGCTGAGTTGGCGAGATGGGGGCGGCAGGAAGCCAGGAAAAACAAGCGGCCCCCCTAAACCAAACCAGACGGGGCCGGCGGCCAGTTACCCAGCTCGCCGCGCGCCGGGCCGGGCCGGGCTGCGTCCACTCCCGGGAGAGGCCTCTGGGGCAGAGCGCCCCCGATGTCCCTTCCTTGGCGCCTCCTGGGCCCCTGGCCGGCCCTTCTGGCCCAGCACTGGGTGGGCGCGGGTGGCTCGGACGGCACCCACGGGCCTCCGGGCGCCCCCAGCGCCGCCCGCCCGCCCGCCCGCCCGCTCACCTGCCAGGCTGCTCGGGGTACTTGTGCTTGCAGTAGGCCTCCAGGGACGCGTACACCTTCTCCCGCAGCGCCTCCACCTCGGCGGGGTTGGACAGCCCCTTGGAGTCTGCGGGGTGGCGCAGGTCAGGGCCTGCCACCTGCTGGCCACAGACCTCACCCCGCCCGCCCGGGGGGCCCCCGCGCCCCCCAGCTCCGGGGCAGCAAGGCCGAGGTGTCTGGCCCCTCCACCCCCGCCCCGCCCCTGCCC